CGACCATCTTCGAGTTGTTTACCAGCAAAGATTAATCGTTGTTGATCGGGTGGAATACCTTCTTTATCTTGGATTTTTGCTTTAACATTTTCAATTGTATCTGAAGGTTCAACCTAATCAATAACAATTTAATATTATTTGAATATATATGAATCAAATAGGAACATACTTCGAGTGTAATTGTTTTGCCTGTGAGTGTTTTTACAAAAATTTGCATGTTTGTTGTCTAAAAAACACATCAAATTTAATTCATAGATGATGACTATAGATAAGAAAAAAAGAAATTTACTTGTTTGTTAACCGTAAAACTGTCTTGTAAGAAGAGAGAATGTAACTGAAGAAATAATGGCGTACAACGCTATATATAGGGGTGAAGTTAGGGCATTTTTTTTTCTTTTTCGCTTTTCGTTCTTCGTCAACATTGCAGCTGACGCCAACGTTTTCTTTCTCATCATCCAGTCGGTTATTTCTCTTCTCGTCTGCATACTCTTCTATATACATCGAGAAGAATAGAGTCATGTACGCCCTAGGCATCGTCATGTGACGCGAGAAGCAAGTAGGAAGAAAAAGAAATGTATGATGAGAGTTACCCTCCAGATAATGAGACAGGGTCGAGATATTTGTTAAAAGGGCAATTTTTTTTGCTATAATCATCATGACATACCTGGTATTGAGAGTTTCTGATGCAACTTAGAATAATATTAACACAAAAAAAAAGCAAATAATGATGGCGCGAAGAAACTTCCAAGTAATATTAGTGTACAGTCGTATTTATTCACCGAAAAAAGTTATAAAGATTCTTTTAAGATGCAAAAAATAATAGAACATTTGATTACTTTTTGTTGAGTACTATCAAGAAATTCTTTCTTCGAATCATTTATTATTGTTATTAATCGTTGTGTAAAATTACGCAATTAGGTTTATTTGTGAGTAAATCGACATTTTCATGGTAAATCGATTTTCACCTGTTGTTGTTCTCATATCTATATGATATCTTATGAGACAAAAATTAATAAATAATTTAAATTAAAAAAAACCTTGAATATTAAGAATAATAAACTACAAGAGATCAAGGATTTATCGTTGTCTGAAGTCAAAAGAAATTCTATATATTAAAAAAGAACATATTTATTTTCTATTTATTTGTTTATTTCAAAAAAACAAAAAACAAACATCACACTCTTGGATACCACCGATGTGAAAAACGTTGTTTAAGTTGTTTTAATACATCTGTATGATATTCATCTGGATAACGATAATATGAATCATAACGTTTCTCATCCATACGTGCTAATCGTTCGATAGTAGCATTTTCTTGTACAGTTTCCTAGAAATAAACATTTTATATCTATCAAAATATTGAAATCAACAAACCCAATGACGTCTTCTTAAATATTTATACCATCCATAACGTGTTTTATCTTTTGCGGCATACCATGGTTCATATTGTTCACCTGATTGTCTTCTATCTAAAGTTCGTCCTTCAAAACAAAGACGTTCGAAATCTAAATCTTCATCAGGATCAATTTCTGCTGATGTTCGTGTTGGTTGATTATTATTTGGACTTGCTAATAAACGTGGATAATAATCATTTTCAGGACGATATTCAACTAAATGTAATTGCTTAACATTTGCCCAATCTTGATAAGTTTTCTAAATAATTCAAAGACAAAAAATAAAGGAGTTTATTATATAGAAAAAACAAATTTTACTTGTTTCAATAAACCACGTATAAAAGCTTTTGTTAAATTTTGTGGATTAATTGCGCCTTCAATTTTTGCATACATATCTTTTATTCCTATTAATCTGCAAATTAATGCTATAATACGATGACATCGAAGACCATAACCTGGCGGTCGTTTTTCACAACGAATTTTAGTAAAATAATAAGGTTCATAGAAATCATGAAAGATTGTATGTCCATCACAAATTGGAACATAAAGTAATTGACGTGCTGCCATTGTTTTAGCTTTTAGTAAAGATTGTTGAGCATCTTGAGTTAATGCTTTACCATAACCTTTTTTTTTGAAGAAAATATTTTAAATAATTGATTTTGAAATGAAAATTTTATTACCAATAAGACCTTGACCATTTCCAACAGCAACAAAAGCAGATACGAATTTTTTTCGTCCAATTTTTCCAATAGTACGCTGTAAAGTTTTAAATTCAACAAGTCGGGAGTCAAAATTCTCAAAAGTTACTAATATATATGCATAAGAAATTGAATGATATATTTTTAGGAGTAAATACACATACTTTCATTCATTGGTTCGGGGTTACCAAGACTTTTACCAGCTGGACTACCACCTGTAAAACCACGTTCACTAGGTGGAATTGATAAACGACGAAAACGATCAAGACGATTGCGTACTTCAAGTAAACGTTGTTCACGCGTTGGATCAGGTGGTCTTTCCATAATAGGAACAATATCTCGTCCTTGAATAATAGGTGCATTTAAACCAGGCCATTGTATATTTGATTTGCCTATATAACTAATTGCAGATAAGAAAAAAATATATAAATATGTATAAAATTACCTTGACCAATTCTTTGACCAAAATTTAAATCTTTAAATTTCGTAGCACCACGTCGTTTAGCACGACCTCGTTTAGCTCCCGCATTACTTACAGATGTAATTGTTTTCCATAGATCTTGTGCAGTTACTAAATAAAGAAAAAAGTAATAAAATCGTCCTATTTAAATTCAATTAACTAACCATTTGTATAAACACTTGTCCGCACAGGCATTATCATCACATGCGGACATTTTTTTGCGTATTGAAAAAGTGCGCCTAACATCTGAAGACATGAAAAAATAGTTATAAAATTTTTCTATTTCAATCAATTAATATAGCACACAATATCATTTCGTCTTTATTTTATATATATATCAAACATTTACATCATATATAAACACAATGGACTAGCATATATAATATCACAAGAATAAGAAAGAAAAATAAATATTAAGATGTACTAATTATTAACTTGGAGGAATGACTATTGGTGCAGTTTGATTTTGTGCATCATTATCTTCAACAAATTCCAAGGCTTCATCTCGTGTAACCGATCGTATCTGACTAACTTTATTACGATAAGTAATACCATAAAATTTATCACCGTATTTAAGTAAATCTGGACCAAATGTTGTGATAATAAATTGAGCTTTTTGACTTAATTCATTAATCATATCTGAAAAAAATAATTTTAATTAAGAATAAAAGAAAAATAGATTTTACCAGCCACAGCATGTCGATATTGTGGATCAAGTGCTTGATCAATTTCATCGAATAAATAAAAGGGTGCTGGATCACATTTTTGTATGGAAAATATTAAAGCTAAAGCAACAAGTGATTTTTGACCACCGGATAATTGTTGCATGTCACGCATTTCATTTGTTCGACCACTGAATGATACTTTAATACCTACACCGGTAAATTCATCAACAGACATTTGTTGTCCTTGACTTTGAGAAGCAACTTGTTCACTATCATAATCCTATAGAAATCAAAATGATTTATATATTTAACAAAAAATTCTATTTAACCTCATTATCGCCTTTTTTTATAACTAAATGTGCTGAACCTTCAGGTACAAGACGTTTAAATACTTCAGTAAAATATAATGAAACTTGTTTAAAAGTAAATTGAATTGTTTCAAAACGTTTATTATCAAGACTTTCAATTAAATCGACAATGTGCTAGAAAGAAATTTATTTCGTTTTGTATAAATATATAATAGAGAAACGTACACGATGTGCTTCATCAATTTCACCTTTACGATTTGTTAATTTATCACGTTCATCACTAAATTGAAGAAATTGATCAAGTGCTTTTTTATTTACATGAGCATATTTTTTTAATTCAATTATAGCACGATCAAGGTCACGTTGAAGCTAGAAAAAAGTAATCAATATGAAATAAATACGATCATATGAAAAACAAATTACTTGTTTAGTTGGTATATCTTTATATTTGTCAAGGCCATCAGGTGGGACTCCAATATCATTTTGTCGTTTTGTACTTTCATCAAGCTAAAGTGGGGAAAAAAAAGAAAATTTTTGAACATATGTTTTCGAATAATTTATGAGTGAAAAATTCTTACCTTATTTTGTGCATTACGTAATTTAACTTCATATTTATCTGTATTACGTTTTTCTTCATTGATACGTTCATCAACATCTTTATCTGAATTCTAAAAAGAAAATAAACTATCGATGACATAATCAATATATTGTTAAATCTAACCTTTGCTTGTTCAAGTTCTTTTTGTTTACTTTTAAGTTCACGATCCAAATTATTAATAATTCGATCAATAACTAAATACATCGATATTCGAAATCTTTTTATTTCAATATATAAAATATACCATCAGTTTGTTTTTCATGTTCATTAAGTTTTTCAGATAAAGTTGCATATTCACGTTCAAGTTCTTCAATAGTTTCACGTACATTTTCAACATGCATTCGTTCAAGATCCTAAAATAATAAATCTATTAAATATTCTTTCTCTTCTATTTATCGTACTGTAGTAATACGATCACAATTTTTTCGATAATTATTTGAAATTTGATGTTCAAGTCTTGTTTTTGTACCTTCAAGCTAAGAGAAAACAACAAGAAAATGTTTTTTTAATTTCAATAAATTCATTTTGCATACTTCAACACGTTTTTTAATAATTTCTTTTAAATCTTGTGTTATTTGTTCAATAGTATCATTCAATTTATCAATTGTATGTTGTTCATCAATAGATAATTGAGAAACAAGATCACTACCAAGTTCAGATCTTAACGATTCTTCTTTAGCACAAAATTGTTCAATAGTTGCATTAAGAGCATTGAATTGACGTTCCTAAATAAAATTTATAATCATCCTTGGAATATTATTATGCATTTCGACGAAATGATCGGTTTCTTTTCAAGATATTAGGGCTACCGGAACTTCGTCAACTGTCGAAATTATAGAGAAAGAGTCGGCGAAAGTACAGTGAACAGTTCTTTCAAGATTTAATTAATCTTATTTAACTCAAAAATTGTCAACTGAAAGTATAGAACTTATTTAAATATGAATCTTAAAAAGTCTATAAAACAGAAAACCAAATAATTATAAGTTTAAACATCAATTTACTTTTGCTGGTCGATGTGTAACGATTCGATGTAATTCTGTTTGAAGATATTTACCATCAGTTTTCATTTGTTCATAATTATCCCTATAAAATTAAATAAAGTAATTCATTTTCGAAGATAATTTTTCTTTCTGTACCAATTCTTTTTTGATTTCATATCTTCACGTTGAAGTTCAGTCATAATATTATTATGTTCATTATCAATATTCATTATTTCACTTCGAAGTTTTTCATATTCTTGTTCATATTTATTTAATTTTGTATGTAATTTTTGTATTGTTTGTTGTAATTCTAAACGTGAAATTTTCTTATCAATATAGCCACCTGTTAATGCACCTCGACGTTGAACTTGATCACCTAGAAAAACAAACAAATAGGTTTTTTCGTTCTTTTCCTTCGTTTTTTTTACCATCAAGGGTAACACAATCAACATCATATTGTCGTGCAGTACGTGTAGCTGAATTAAAATCTTCGCAAAGCATAATACGATTGAATACATGTCGAACAGCTCTTTCAGCTTTTGGTATCCATTGTAGTTGATCAATCAATGGTGATGCACCGTTTATATTTGATAAATTATTATTTTGTACTTCTAAAACATTTAATGGTAAAAAATGAATTTCACCACGTTGACGAGCAGTATTAAATTCTTTCACTAAACGTGTTGCGATAATATCGGAATCGACTATATGATAATTAAGTCTAATTGAATAATAAGAAGAAGATATTTTCATAATATATGAAATTATTTACTTACCGATTACCAGCAATAACTTCAACAGCTGTATAAAACGCTGGATCACATTCAATATTTTCAATTAAAGTACCATGATAACCATTTATAATATCTTGATTACGATTTTCATCAGCAAATTGACGAAGAAGTCGTTGTAAACCATCAGCACCAGATGATGCACCCTAAACGTAAGAGATTTTTATTGATATGAAAAAAAAAACTATGAAAAATTCTACTTTATTCATAACAGATCGAAGTTGATCTTGACATTTACGTAATTCATCTCGAGTTTGACTAACTTGCATGTGTAGATGAGTTTCTTTACGTGCCAAATCTCTATTAAATAATAATTTGAAATATAAAAGATTGTAAAGAATTTTATCAGGACTTTAAATGAACAGTCCTTATAAGTACACATAAACAACCCCAACAATTTCAATGAAAGAATTAAAATATTGCACAGAGTTCTGATTCTTTTCAACGTACGTTTTTTGAGCAGCAATATCGCTCTTTTTTTGTCGAAGATCTCGAACACGTGTATTAACACTATCCATATGAGTACGTTGTTCACTTCCATTATCTCCAATTTGTCGGAGTTGTTCTTCAATTTCATGTGATTTAATTGTTTCATCTTCAAGTTCTGTTTTCAAACGTTGCATCTAGAAAAAGAATTAAGAAAACTTAAACAATATTTAAAATATTTTTTGTTTTACTTGTTCACGTTTATCATGAATAGCTTTGGTTAATGATTTAAGTTCTGATCGAATCCATTTATCTCGATCTTCTTTCGAATTGAATTGATTTCCACGACCACGTTTAGCAAATAATTCTTTACGTTTTTCTTCAGCAAGATCACGTCTAAATTATTGAATTCTTTAATATTCTTCTGTGGACGAAAAAAAATGAAATAGTATACTGAGCTGTTTTCTGTTCTTCTTCATGTCTTAGAATATCATAATCAGGAATTATTTTAGCTAATTGTTGTTCACTTTCAGTTAATAATTTATCATATTTAGCTAATTCTTTTTTAAGTTCATCACGTTTTACATCACGATGTTCAGTTTCACCTTGAAGATCTTGTAATTCAAGTTCAATTTGTGCTTTACGTTGAAAATTATCTTTATTATCAACAATTAATGTTTCACGTTCGATTTGTTGAGTTTGTAAACGTTGTTTAAGTTCCGTGATAGAATCCATTGTTTGCTACAAATCAAGAATATATTTAATTGAAAAATAAACAAAGAATAATATTTACTTGAAGAAGTTCTGTTACAGATAATCGATCATTTTCTAATTGTTCAATTTTTTGTGTAGCACCATTCATTCTTGCTACAATCTATTTAGAAAACAAGAGAATATTCAATCTATGAACTAGTTATTATTACTTCATCAATTCGTTTTTTTGCATCTTCACATTCTGCCATACAAATAGCACATTCTAAACCACGTTTTGATCGATCCCATTTTTGATATTGTTTAAGTTCTTCTTTTTCAGTTTCAAGACTTAATAGACGTTCTTCAATAGCTTTCAATAGATCGGCGATTTTCTTTCGACGGTCCTCTATTTAAAAAATAAATATTGATTAAAATCAAAACTAATCTTCATACCTGTTTCAGTTAAGATAGCTTCACTTTCTTGTTTTTTTTCGTCATATACTTTCGTACCAGCTACTTCACGTAATAATTGAAGGCGATTTGCATCAGGTGCAATAGCCATTTGAGTAATCTATTCAATAAATTTGCTTTCAAAATTTGAAATCAATGTATTTATACATACTTTGCCTTGTTTAACAATATAATAAGGATTTGATCGTGAAAATCCAGCACCTTCAAGCATATTGATAATATCTGTTTTACTAGAATTTATTTTTGAAATAAAATATTGATTTGATTGTTCACTAAATCTTACTTAACGACTTTACGATCAAGAAAATAATTATCTTTTTTTCCACTAATTTGTCGTCGTACAGCTACTTCAGGTTTATCAATCTAATTCATAGAAGAAGAAGAAAAAGAAAATTAATTCATATTCAAATTTAACTAACCATAATACGACTATCAGAATTGTCAAAGATAATTTCAACATAAGCATTTAATGCTCGACTATTAATACCTTCATGCATTAAATTATAACGACCATCAGCTGATAAATTACTAAATTCATCACTTAAGACAAATTGAATAGCTAGAAATAATGAATAAAAGAGAAGATAAATAAAGGTGAGAATTAAAAACTTACCAAAGAAGAAATTTGATTTTCCACAACCATTTCGTCCAACTAAAGATATAAAATTATAGATTAAAGAAATTTTGTATAGATTATAATATTACCAATAATATTATAACGTGGACTAAATGGTTCAATAATTGTTTCATCACGATAAGAACGAAAACCCTGGATGATAACCTATAAATATAAAATTTACAGGTTTTTGTTTATTAAAAACAAATTTAATATTTTAAAACCTACCTGCTTTATATACATATCGGACGTTTATAATTATAAAAGAAAATATCTTCACGAAACCAGATGAAAAGGATATTCTTTATTTTGCTTGTTCTACCAATCGAATAAAATTACTATTAATAAAATATGTTGATGGTTCGTGACACCTATCGATAAACAGCTGATGAATTCAACGAAATAATCATAAAACAATGTTTAGTAATCCGAAGAAATTACCTACGAATGTATATTAATATCGACATTCATAACGAGTGTTTCGAAAAAAGGAGGAGAAGATGATAAAACATATACGAATCTTTGAATATTTATTAAAAATTGTTTTACTAATTTTTAAAAGTGATTTTAATCATCTTTTATTAATAATATTATTTGATATGCAATCAATTGCTGTTATACTTCTACAATACGAGATGTTGACAAAATTTATATAATAAATATCTCAGTGCTAACTCTTCCGACTTTGTTGAAACGTTCAATATGTATCGCTTAGACATACTGAATATCCATAGTGCATTCCAATAAAGAAATACACACATTGCCATTGTTGTAATCGAGTATGTTCTTGTATAGAAAAATATACAATTAAATTTTATTCTGATTTTTGTAGAATATTTTACTGATATTATATATTTCTTTGATTGCTTTATGTGTAACATATACACATTTATTTTTATCTATTATTAAATGGAAATACCCATCAGTTGCCTTATTCGACTTCGACAATAAATGGACTCTTAACTACATCATATCACTTCGAAAATAATTCACCCAAAAAGTTTTCCTAAATTATAATTTCTAATTCCAATGTGGGTGGGTGTGTGTATGATTGTTTACTCTAACTACGTACGGCTCACACCCACAATCATACCTTCAACAAGGATTATCTTAAGAATAAACAATTTGATAATTTTTCACTATTATATTAATACATAAAAAAATCAAATGATATTAACTCAAATCAACAACATATTCTTATAGAAAACACAAGAAGTTCATTGTCAACCCAATATAAATATTATAATGAAACACAGCATACATATAATGTACATATAAACAAAACATGTTACACAGCAATATAATCGTATATTCTTTTGGTAATGGTATTTTATTGTTCATCACTGCTTTCATTTGCTTGTTGATTCAATAGTAATAATTTATTTGGTAATTGACTATTTCCTTCACCATTGAAAGATGTTAATGTCTAAATAAAAGAGAAAAAAAAATTATTCGTTTTGAAATATAAGAAGATAATATATCTTTTACTGCATTTTCTTTAATTGCATCTTTTAACATTGTTAATTCTTGTTCTGCAATTCGATTATTTTGAAGATTTAAACTAGTTAAAGTCTACAAACAGATAAGAACTATTCAAAATAAAATAGAAAAGAAACTATTACCTTATTTTTACGTATTGCTTTCCATAAATTTCGTGCTCCTATACTTTTAATTCCATTCGAAGAAAAATCAAGACTCTTTAGCGTCTGTAGAACAAAAAAGAACAAATAATCAGACTAAATGAACTGTTGATCTTACCTTGTTTACTTGTAACATTTCACTTACAAATTCTGCACCAATATGTCCAATTAAATTATTTGAGATATTAAGCGTAAGTAATGTCTATATAAAATATCAACATAAAAAGATATCCGTTTGTAAAGATCAAATATAGAATGAACTGTTTAATACTTTTCTAATGTCATTATTTAATTTTAATCTTATACTGATGAAAAAAATGTTATCTTATATGATTGAATAGATTCAGATAAAAATGACTCAATCGATTGGAATGTACACCTAGTTTTGACTATATGATTAAGTTACCTTATTAGTTACTAATACATCACATATATGTTTGACTCCAGTCTCACGAATTTGATTTCGTTCGATATTTAAATCCAAAAGAGTCTATTTTAGAAAAAGAAAATTAAACACAAATGAAATAATATATATATGTCTTTTACTTGATTAGTTCGTAATGCATCACTAAGATAAAATGCACCTATTTCTCCAATTTGATTACACCGTAGATTAAGTGAAACAATCGCCTAATAATAAATATTTTTTATACGATATATTCAAAGATTATTAAATATACTTTATTCATTCGTAATAATGTATTGATACATAGAGCACCTTGTTCTCCAATTCGATTAGAAGCAAGTTCGAGTGTATTAATTGACTACAATAAAATTATATTCATATTTAAAACTGAATTAATTCGAAATTGATTTATTTTACTGTATTATTTTTTAATACATTACAAAGAGCTTTTGTACCAGTTTCTTCAATATGACACCAATTGATTTTCAATATCTTAAGTGTCTATATTAAAATCAATCATTAAAAATCGCTTCAAAATATTTGTCTTTACCTTATTTTCTTGTAATGCTTCACTCAAATATTGTGCTCCTCTTGTTCCAATATGATTATGATCTAAGTTCAATACAGTTAATGCCTAGATAGAAAATTAAATAGATATATAGATACAATTATAAGCAAAAGATTAAAATAGTAACCTTATTTATTTTCAATGCATTACTTAAATACTGCATTCCCAGAAATCCAATCTGATTTTGAGAAATATCAAGTTCAGTGAGTTTCTATAAGAATTAAAAGAAATTATTATTAGATATATACAAGTTGTTAAATTTACTGTATTTTTTTCTAAAGCACTACTTAAAAAATTTGCTCCTTGATTATCAATTTGATTTGCATGGAGATTAAGTGCTAAAAGTGTCTATATGAAAAAGAATATATTATTAAAATAAATAAATAAACTAAATATTTGACTTACATTATTATTTGATAATATATTGCTTAAATAACTTACTCCTTTATCTCCAATCTTATTTTTCGAAAGATCGAATATTATATATGGTTGTGCTAACTAAAAACAGATATCGATTTATAATAATTGACAAATTTCTTATGAACTCTATAATAGAACATCTTAGAGATTATATTAGTTTAGCATACAAAATTTTGATTCTTACCACATTGCTTTCGAACACTTGTTGAATGACAACTTGGATGTCACCATCATTCAATTCTTTTTGACTTAAATCTAATTTTAAATTATCTTGGACACCATTAGCAATACTTTCTAAATTGTAGTCGATAGCAGAAAGTAATACATTTTTTATTGTCGATACCATATCTAAATAGATTCATATCAAAAATAAATATTTATCTCATGCTGAGCTGCAAAGCTTTTGATTTTCAAACATATAATCTTTTTGTATTCTTACCAGTTGAATTATTTTTACTATTGTCGGAATCGAGAAAACTAAAATATTAAAATAAATATAGTATGTTTATACTCGAAAGCAAATTTTTATTACGCATCAAGGATTTCTTCTTGAAATAACATATTCGCAAGATCAATATCGAATAAATCATCCTTCAAAAAGAGAAAATATATACATATAAATGTTAGAAAGCTTTTGTTATGCTTATTGATTTACCATCAATGAACGTGAGTGTGGAGATAGGTGTGATTGATCGACTTTGGCCTCAGTAGTCTATACAAAAATCGAAGATATATAACACAAAAATAAAGATTGATACTAATTTACTGGTTTTTCTGGCATTGTCTTATGTACATCACTGGTAGTTTTGTTCGCGTTAATTTCTGTTGATGTAACAATCACATTTGAATGATTGTTGTTTTCATGAGATGTTGTCGATAAATTAGTGGAGTTTGAACTGGTTTGAATTGTACTACTTGCTGTTGATGGAACAATGAGATTGGGATCACTTTGTTTCATAGTAAATGTTGTTGGTGGGCTTACGGTTACTGGAAGGGCGGTCATTATAGGAAATTCTGCTGATGTCACAGTGCCGTTTGTATGTGTTTCCATTTCATGAGATTTTGGTAGTAAATTAGTAGAGTTTGAACTGGCTTGAATTGCAGTGGGTACTGTTGATGGAACAACAATATTTTGCAGGTATTGGTTTATAGTAAGTTTCCTTTTTGCGCTTCCAGTTACTTGATTGATAATTGTCATAGAAGATTCGATTGGTGTCACAGTGGCATTTGTGTGTGTTTCTATTTCATGAGATGTTGTTGGTAAATTGGTGGAGTTTGAACTGGTTTGAATTGCACTACTTGCTGTCGATGGAACAACGATAGTTGGATTGCTTTGTTTTATAGTAAATGTTGTCGGTGGGCTTATGGTTACTGGAATAGCGGTCATTATAGGAAGTTCTACTGATGTAACAGTGGCGCTTGTATCTGTTTCCATTTCACGAGATGTTGTTGGTAAATTAGTAGAGTGCGAACTGGTTTGAATTACACCAGTTGCTATTGATGGAACAACGATATTTG